TTTTTTTTTTGTTATTCATTGAGTTTTTTGTTGTTTTTGACCAAAAGTACCTAAGAACATGTGCGAACAGGTGCTTCTCTTCTGTTGCTGGGATTTGTTTTTTTTTGTGTTGAGTCTTAATTTAGTTTTCTAAACTGTGTTATCCACAGGAAGAGATTATGTAATCAATTAAACTGAACAATGAGATATCTGCAGAGAGAGACGTTTTTGTGGGGCTATGTTTTGTGTAGTAGTTCATGCTGTGAACACACTGCAGTTTTAAATGGTATCTATGGGATGTTGGAGAAAGATCACTCTGGCTTTAGATGGAAATGCTGTCTGGTACTCCTTTTCGTTATAAACCTGGTATCTTAAAGGGTGTAATTTAGTATTTTATCTGATGTGACATGCCATCTGAATCCTAACAATAGTTGATTTCTTTGCTTAATATGCAGCTGATTACTTTGTGTGGAATAAGTGGAATATGCAAGGGGTGTTGTCTGAGATGCTTTTTGTCATACACACAATTCAGGCCTACTTTGCGTGAGATCACAGGAGACTTTGCTTTGTTTTGCCATCTGTGAATTGTGTGTCAGACAATATCTCCTAATATTCTGTAAAAATCTGTTAGTCCTTGAAGGCTTCTTAATCCTGAGCTATACCAGTAGTCAGAATTTCAGAGCTGGGGAGTTGTTGTGTAGTGTACTTTATGTGGTCTAGACCTTTTTTCTGTGGGAGTAAAGGAGAACTAAGCTGCTGTTAGTCAGGATCACATTACTGAGGTTGTTAATGAATCCAGCTTTTCTATATGCTTTTGAAAGATCTGGTGAAAATGAATTCTGACAGTGTGCTAGGTGTTTCCTAAAACCCAGAGTGTGTGAGTCTAACCCATCCTACTGACCTAATGCAGAGTCACAGTGGGTCTGAATTTGAAATGCTTGGAGTGTGATTGAAGCATCTCCCCAGTTTGAGATGATGGGAGCTCCCATGAGCATGTCTCTTACGGAAATCTAGTCCGAAGTTGGGTGTGCAGGAATTGGACCTCAGTCTCCTCTTGTCCATGGTTTTGAGAGCATTTAATCTTCATTTGAGTATATAATAGTCCTCCCAGAGCAGACAGGTGTATTTTGATCATATGAGTATGTACCTGACTTATTAAATAAGGACAGCAAATATGTGAGTTGTGCCCACTGCAAAAGTAAAAACATTAATCCTGGTGCCTGGAAATCTGGTATTGTAATTCACAGATACAAAAAGGAAAAACACTCTTGAAAGTCAGGAAGGGAATGGAATGATCTGTGAGATCACTTCTGGATTCAGTGAGATGAGGATTCACTACATTGTACACTGCATCCAGAGTATCTGGGTTGTGGCATTTGAGTGTGGAGGAATGATAGAGGAGGTGGCAGCCTGGGGAAAAATCAAGGAGAGGCTGGCATAATTACGCAAGGCAGAATGGGGATGTAAGGAAACAAGTTATGCAGAGCATACTTATGGTGACATCTCCTTTGAGGAAAGCTAGTAAAGTTCTGTGTATTGTCAGTACCAGTTCTGTAGTCCTCTTCAGTTCCTCTGGCTGAGGGTCACAGTTGCTGTCTGTGCCTGCATTCCCTCAGGGCCAGTGTGGGGCTGGGCAGCTCATAGGAGCTTGGGCTCCATGTCTCACCTCTTAAGTTCACCAGTAAGAGTGAGATCTGCTGCTCTGGTTGGGAGCCTCTGATGCTGAGTGAGGCTCTCTTTAAGCACGTGAGGAAAATCAGTGGGCAGGACCAGCTTGTACAAATCTTCCACAAATCAATTGGTTAAATGGGCTAGTTGCAACAAGCTGGGTGGAGGATGGTGCTTTTCCTCCCACATGAGGGTGGGAAGGAATTCAAAGTCAGAGATGTCAAAGGTAGAAGCACACTTAGCAGACACCTATTTGTTTAGTTGTTTTGATACTGATAGTTGCCTACTCTTTGCTACCGTATTACTACTTCTAATGCATTATCTGTGGGATGTTTGATGTATTTGTCTCGTGTCTCTGTACAGATGCATCATTATTAGATGTCAGACTAGTTGTCACCTGTGCTAAGCTGCAACCAAGATGGCTAAGTACAGACTTGTTCTCTTGAGACATGGGGAAGGAGCCTGGAACAAGGAGAATCGCTTTTGCAGCTGGGTGGACCAGAAGCTGAGCAGTGATGGGATAAAGGAAGCTCAGAACTGTGGCAAACACCTCAAAGCACTGGGCTTCGAGTTTGACCTCGTCTTCACCTCTGTACTCAGGCGCTCCATCCAGACTGCATGGCTCATCCTGGAAGAGATGGGCCAGGAGTGGGTCCCCATTCAGAGTTCCTGGCGACTGAATGAACGTCACTATGGTGCACTGATTGGTCTCAACAGAGCAGAAATGGCACTAAATCATGGGGAGGAGCAAGTGAAACTATGGAGGAGAAGCTATGATGTTACACCACCTCCCATAACTGAATCTCATCCTTACTATGAAGAAATCTACAATGATCGCCGGTATAAATGCAGTGATGTCTCTCAAGATAATCTCCCAAAGGCTGAAAGTCTAAAAGATGTGCTTGATAGACTCCTTCCCTATTGGAATGAAAAGATAGTGCCAGAACTGAAAAGTGGCAAAATGATCCTTATCTCTGCTCATGGTAACAGCAGCAGGGCATTGCTGAAGCATGTGGAAGGTAAGGGTCTTCCTTTTAGCCTTCCCTTCTTTTCCTTACTTAACTGTTTAGAGCTCTAAGTCTTGTTCTGTGGGATATATTACTTATCTTGGCTCTGTAACACTCAGTATCTGTGGTGTCCAATGAGAAAGTTAAAAGTTGGCTTATTTGAACAGGAATCAAACTGAGGGATGTTGAGGGGGGAGAGAATTAGGTTAATGTAGTTACGGAAAGAACCAGATGTTTTCCCCTTGTCCCTCACTGTTCATTTTAAACTACTGTATTCAAACTAACTTTGTGGTTTGTCTAGATGTGTAGTGATAGGGTGAGGGGTAATGATTTTGAGCTGGAAGAAGAAAATTAAATTGTTTAGTGTGAGGGTGGTGAGACACTAGAACA